AGGACGCTGATTGGCCGGAAGTGGTGATGGCCTAACAACATCACGCCTCGACCGCTGGAAGGGGCGGGCTTTCGGGGAGCGGAGCGCGGGCTGCCATTGGCTGTGTTGAGGCCACGCCCCTGGGGTCAGAGGCGAGCGGAACGGTCGCCTAGCAGCGGCGGGACGCGGGCGGAGGGCGGGAACTCTGGGCCCGCCGAAGCCCACCCTGAGGGGAGCCCCCGGCCCCCACGCTCTGGGCCGGGCTGCTGCCCCGCCCCGCCCTCAGGAGGTGGTGTTTCTGTTTCCAGGCGCCGCTCCGGGGCCGTCGGTGGGCGCAGGGAAGAGATGGGCCCTGAGAAAGCGCAGGGCAGCGCAGCCCCGAGAGGCACCGGGGACAGTACGTGCCATGAAGGGCCGAGGGCCCCGTCGGTGAAACACGACGTTGCCAGGACCCCAGGATTACATCCACCTCTGAGGATTCTCATGCTGGAAGCGAGCAACCCAGCGTGCAAAAATTAAATCTGCTCACAGGCAGCCCACTGAGCAGTCTCCAGGACAATCCCTCTCAGCCCAATCCAGCCTAATAAAGCCACTGGGTTCTGTGGCTCCGATCGTTTTGCCACCAGCAGAACTCCTGTCAGTGTTACAATCGGGTAGCTAAGGTCTCTGTCCAGCTGCAGCATCCCCCTTGCTCCCAGAGCAGAGGTGTCCAACCTTAAATTACCAACACCTTTGCAAATGAGCCTTTCTTCTGGCCAGCTGATGTCTCGCACACCCTCCCCTTCTTAGTGGTACTTCCTTCTTTGTGTCATCCTCCAGGGCTGGATTTATAAAGAAGACAATGTGACGAGAGATCTCAAAAACAGCTTGCAAGAGCTAGCCAAAAGATTTCAAGATCCGCAGACCAAGCATAAAGCAGTGAAATAGCAGAAATGGGAGCTGTGGACTTCCCTGAATGAACATGCTGAGCTACAGCAGGACACTTGGCACCTAAGGATACAACTCAAAACACTTTTATTGGAGCACTGAGAATCAGTGCTGGCTCTTGAAAAGGTAGTGCAGGAGATTAAACCCATCATAGCACTGTCAGGTCAGGCTGCTGCCTGCTTCAGGTAATTACCTAGCTCCTGCCAACTCCTGGCAAGATGCATATGCTGCTTTTGGAGCATACTTGCTTCATCACAATGCTCTGCTCATTTCAGTGGAAAGAAGCCCTGTAACAACACAGTTGCGACACCAAGCAAGTAGCTTACTCACAGGACCGCCTTTCTTCCCCATCCACTGACTCATCTCTGAAACCTCCTCTGCAAAGCGCTGCGCCAGCCTGGAGAGGCTGCACACTAGCCAAAATGCAGAGCAGTGAGGCTACCACAGATCTGGTGAGGCACGTGTTGAGAAACAAGGGAGCTGGTATGGGCTAAGCAGAGCCAATACAATACTGCCTGCACATAAACCCATCTTTTACAGTTGTTTGTAGCACCCAGGGCTGGGCGCAGCTCATTTTGGAATCTAAGCACTTCCCAAACTGGCTGGTACTTTGCTGAGACACAAGACAAGCAGTCAGGATTGAGTCAGTGGTGGAGAGTGTGATTTATCACAATGCTGAGCCAACAGAAAAACTAGAAATAAAAGCAGGAGCAGGCAGGAGTCCCAGCTGTGATTCAGACCTCTATTATCAACAACTCTCGCCTGAGCTGAGCATCAGGACAGGGTGAATCAGGAGCTAGGAAACAACTGAGTATTTCCCCCACCTCATTTTATTCACACTCGGTGTTCGCTCCACACTAGCGCCAGCCTCCTACAGGCAGGGCAGCCCACGGCAGCGATGAGGCATCTTTGCTCTGGTTCTAGACTGCACAGCTCTGGTAGAACAAGAGGACGGGGCAGTAGTAAAGCATCAAATGCAAGTGATAACTGCAGTACAAAATTCAAGCAACCCATTTATACACATCTGTATTTTAACCAACATTGTCCTTATGGTGTAAATAGCAAGGAAGCGCCAGTTCTGACCTCCTGATGGCCTGGAAGCCCTTGGTAACAACCTGGGCCACTGTGGGACAGGAAAGCGTGTGGCTGATGTGACAGTCTCTAGTTTCCCCTATTGATTCCTTGGAGCCTGAACACAGCAGTGGGAGGAAAATGGCCACCCCTGGCCATACAAGCCACTCTCAACTTGGTTTTCAGATAAAATCTGTTTTAAGAGGCTTCATCTTTCAAGTACTCCAACACTCCAACGTTGCACTTTGTATCCTGCTTTCAGGTTCAGCAGTTCTCTGCTGCTTAGATTTCAGAGCAGTTACCCCAGTTTACCCATGACTCGCCTTGCTGGATCTGACTCATCCACCTGCTGCTAGGGAACAGGCCTCTCCTTCGTGTCAATCCTTAACCCTCTTGTCTCCATCTAGTGTCCAAATCACACTTTGGTTTCTCTCCCAGCCCACTTGAGACCTGCAGGCTTAACAGCTTGCATGTCACTGTGATGACAACCAAAATGAAGTTGAACAGGCTCAGATTCATGTCAGCAACCCCAGAGCATTCTCTGAGAAGGTCCTAATTGCTTTCATGTCCCTACAGTTTTTACCCAGGTGGAAAAAAAGCTGCCTGATTCCTGCAAGGTGTAGGGAGGGGGGCTGAAAGCTTGGTGCTGATCATAAAGATCCTCACCTTCTTAGGTTTTTAATAACATTGGGTTACTCTTGCTTCCCATCAGGGTGGCTGGAGCACCTAGTCCCAGAACTGCTGGCTCCCCTAACAGTCCCCCTCCTCCTCTGCGTGGCTCACCAGCATGGTGGGCAAGGAATAAACCGCTGCCAAGTGCCACCAAAACTGCCCGTCCCTGGCCACCTGCAACCCAACAAGTTGTTACAGCACCACTAATAGAACCTGTTTCTCAGCAAAGCTCTGGGCTCAGGCTCAGCCCCATCCAAACCACACGTATGGGGCCTTTTCTTCAGCATGGTGGCAAAGCGGGCTCAGACCTGCACGTGCCCTACTCAGCCAGTCCCCACCAGCAGACAGAGGCTGTCTGCAATGTAGGGAAGCTGTGGTGGGAGGTTCAAAAGAGCATGGAGGTATTTCCACCTGGCACTACTTTCAAAGTCTCATTGGGTTCACTTCTTTTGGTCCCTTTGGGAAGGCTCAGGTCAGCAGTCAGGAGGCCCATTCTACCTAGATTTGGACTAAGTACAAGGATCCCTCCACAGGGCTGTGAAGGGATAACCTGGTGAAGGCCCTCAAGCTTGTAGTAACTGGCATCTGCTGTCTTGCCTGGCTGAGCAAGAGGCACTTCATGCTGTCTGCACCAAGGAAAAGGCTTAGCCCTGAAGGGGAAACACACAGTGCTTACCTACTGTTTCTGGACTGAGGAGGAACACTGAACGCAGCAGAAGACTGAGCGGGACATGAGGGAGATGGCTGTGACCTGTGCTGCCACCTGCATCCAGAAAAGCTGCTTGTTCCAGACAGTCCTCATGTTGAAGATGAAAAAAAAGGGAGAGGGCAAGAAGGCTAATAAGCACAAAATCCATCCTCTGTCCACCCATTCTTTCATCTCAGCAAGGCTGCTTGCTCCCCTGGGGCTCAGCTCTCCCAGATTACAACCATCAGCTGAGATAGCACTTGCACTGAGGCCCGAGCCTGCCAGGGCTGGCTGTCAGAGACAGAGGACACCAGAGCAGTGGCATGATGACACGGCTCACCATTTTAGGTTGAGCTCTGTTGCTTTTCAAAAGCAGTAACGACCTTTCTTGCCAATGGGACTGGAGCAGGAGTGCAGGCTCCTGGCTGGCCTTCCTAGCCTCAGTGCCCTTCATGTGCTCACATAGGTCAAGGCCCAATCCTGCTGCTGCTCAAGGTCCCAATAAAATAATTTCTGGGGGCAGAACAATGCACTTAACCTGTATTGGTTTGTCCTTGGGTGAATTTGAGAGAATGTTTCCCTTTGCGACTCCCCGACTTCCCTGCGTTCCCTGACTCCAGCAGCTGGTCTCTGAAGCCCCTGTTCCCAGGGGAGCAGTGACACTGGCTGCAAACCCCAAGTCACCCAGCCCATGTCCTTTAGCTGCCTCCCTACCTGTATTCCTACCGAGTTGCTCTTTTCCACCTCTAGAATGGAAACCAAAGAGGAGCTTTTGCCCAGTCTTTGGAGACACTAGCTGTGCCCAGATCACACAGCAGCATCCCACAGACCAAAAACGAGGCCCCAGCAGATTTGCCTTGGATCATTTATTTGGCAATGAGCAGGGTGTTGCTGTGAGAGCACCTCACAACCCTCAGTGCAAACCACGGGATTCTGTGTCCACTCAGCACATCCTCAGCAGCAGCAGCAGCAGCAGCTGCTGGACAAAGCAGGAGCAGGGTGATGACCCTCCTCACCTCCCAGCTCATCCTCCCTTAACAGAGATCATTAAAGCATTGATGAAGTGGAGTGAGTCCAGCAGAGAGCCACGAGGATGGTTGGGGCTGGAGCACACATCCCATGTGCAGAGCCTGAGGGAACAGGGCTCCTTCAGCCTGGAGAAGGGAAGGTTTCGGGGGGCCTCAGCGCAGCCTCCCAGTACCTGCGGAAAGGAGGTGACCGTGAGGATTGAGCCAAGCTTTGTGCTCAGGTGCAGAGCAGAATGAGAGAGCAGACACAATATAAAACAAGAAAGGCTCCAACTGGACATAAAGGGAAACTTTTCACCCCAAGGACAGTCAAGCAGCGGGAGGGGGACTAGGTAAAGCCCTGGGCAGCATTGCCTGAGCCCACAGCTCATGGAGCCTGGGCTAGAGATGTCCTGCAGTCCCACTGAGCACGAACCATCCTGTGATTTTACGTGACAGGCAGGATGAAGCAGGACCCCTCTCCCCAGAAGGGGTCAGTGGAGGTCCCCATCAGGCCCTCAAACCTTAACTGTCCCAGCCAGCCTCTCCTGGGACCCCCACCCCAGCAGCACCCCCTGCTCTGGGAGCTCCACCTGAGCTCAGGCCCTGCTGTCCCCCCCGAGCGAGGCTGTAGGTGTACCTGTGCCTGGTCCTTCTCCTGCACAGGCCTTGGACCTACGCTGCAGGCAGCCCTGCCTCCTGCTGTTCCGACTTCCCAGCTGGAATTCCTGGAGAGGAGGAACCTGACCCGTTACCACACCTCATCCAACAACCACCGGACACTCAGTGGAAGCTGCTGTTACCACCAAGGCTGTCCCGCTCTGGTGCTGCAGTCCCGCTCGGTTCCCAGCTCATCCTTCTGTGTGAAGCAGCATCCCCAACCTCTGTGGCTGCGGCCACGGGCGGTCCCAGGGCCCTCACAGACTCACCCACCGGCAGGTCAGGCCCCACTCAGGGAGGCGAAGGCTTAGTAACGTCCAGAGGGACATTTGGCTTCACTTCCAGGGAGGCCTGGGTTTACAGGCACCCACTGACGTGGAGCTCCTGGCCAGAGGAGGGCCCGACACACTTTTCGACCGACCCCTCATCAGAGGTCTTCGGGGGGTCGCAGGGACTGTCGGAGGACTCTGGTTTTTACACCTTTCTGTCTTGAGGTTGTCTGAAGGCAGACGGTGCCCATCTGAGGGGGTGTTCAGCCGGCTGAGAGACTGGGAACGGCCTCTGCAGGGAGCCGCCCGGCCTTCGGAGCAAGAACGGCTGTCGGGACGCTTCCAGCCGCAGGACTCGCCCTCGCCGCCCGTCTCAGAGCCCGCTGCTGCCGGCGGCGCGGCGGCCCGCGGGTGCACGGCTCTCAGGGGGGTCTCCCT